GTCTGAGTACCAACTTGACCCCATTGCTCTATCCTGGCTGTGGAATTCTGGGAGTTGAAGTCCACACATCTTAAAGTTGCTAAAGCTGAGAAACGTTGGTATAGCTCTGGGAAGGCAGTGAAAAACTGGAGCGCATGAAATGCCAGTGAGTATCATGGGGCACGCAGATTAGTTGTAAGGTCATCCTAGAAGATCCGTCAAGCATATATATCAACCTTTTGATTAGAGTGAGGTGAAGGAAAGTCGATCGCATGTGGCCTAGCCACATAAATAAATCATATTTGAAACATATGCATACACATGCATTGCATCACACAAACAAATCTATTCTGTAGTACTGAATGTATGATAGCTCAAAGGACTGATCCTGGCCAAATTGTGCACATGCTGTACTTATAAATGAACATCATCAGAGGGACTGCAACAGGAGCCAAAGCGGCCTCCGAGAACAAAGACTTGTCTTTTTTTATTAGCATTTGTTCTGTTTACTTTTTGATGATTTTAAATGCCACAGTGGCTAAAACTGCAGACAGGCAGGGGAGGTGCTCCCCACCTCCATTCTTCCCAGCATAGAATTGTATATTATTGTTCTCTGCCTTTGGTTGCATCCCTGCTGCTGCAGAAGGCTTTTTCAATCAAGAGTACAGGCTATAAATATGCATGCGGGTAATTCTAACTGAAAGCCACCACTGTCAGAACTGGCATGTGTCATTCTTTTGGCATTAACTCTGCAATTACAATGTTTCCTACAATTACATAATAGACTCCTGTGACTCAGTGGCAAATGAGAAAGAGAAAGAAGAAGGGAGGGGTAAATTAAACGGTGGGAGGGCTTTACACCTCTAAGACGGAAGTGTGTGCCAGTATTTGCACGGACATATAGCCTATTTTCCAGAACACAATTGTTTTCTTGAAGTCCTCTATTCAAAGGCTCAGTCTAGTCTAAATCCAGTCTGCTGATAAAGAACGAGAGGAAGGAAATTACTACTTGGCTAAAAGTCTAAGGTAATGGGTCATCTAGTCTCTGATTTCTCCATATGTCATATTACCTTTTGATTTGAAGTGTAGGAATTACTTCTGAACTTACTTGTGTGTGTGTGGCCCACTTACACAATAAGTTTTTTTTTAAGTGGTTTGTATTAATTAAAAGTCAGACTAGGCTTTTAACTCAAATGGACTATGTAAAGTGCAGCCAATTCTATTCAATATGCTGGCTATTGTTTTCTAAACAATCGCCATCCAACTGCAGTTTTCAAAGAGTTTCCAAAGACAACTCTGTGTTCAGCATGTTTTTAAAATAACTCGTCAACTCCCATCAAATCATTAAATAAATAGAGGTGTTCCTTCCATAATATGTATGGAAATTGCTAGCCAATATTCTGTACAATACATCAGATGGCACTGAATAGTTCTGAGTTTTACTTCAAAATTAGTATTTGAATTATTGATAGGGAATGGATGCTCCATCCTCCTCCAAGCCTTGTTATTTTCACAGAGTGACTTGCAGCATGCATGGCCGTGTTTCACTAAACATGCATTCCAATAATGCCACTAAAACTGGATGGCAAAATATTGAGAATTGGAAATATTGTTTTTCATCATATTGAAGACTTTTGCATATTTAATCCATTTCAAAAATGGATTAAACATTAATGTAAGATTTATCACCACTTGCAAAGCCTTAAAAACAACCTTTAAAAAATAAAAAGGCTATAATTCTTTTCAATTGCATGATGCACCTTTACAAGTTTCTGCAACTTCAATAAATGCCATTTTGATGCCATTCTTTTTCTTTCTTTCTTTCTTTCTTTCTTTCTTTCTTTCTTTCTTTCTTTTTTTGCTCTGTCTTCAGCACGATTTGCCTACAGCACTAATTGGATTGGCCATGGGATTTGTCCTTTGTGATGTCATAAGTGCAAGTCCAGCACAGTGACATCATCAGTGAATTCATGCACTAAGACTTTGCTAGACAGCATGATATCATAGAAAGAGAAAAACAAAAAGAATGGAAATAAATTGCAAAAAACAATAGCTGAGAGAACAAAAAGTATGATGCACATAACACAATAATATGTTTCAACAATCCACCCCTGCAGAAACAAAAAAAAAGAACATAATCCAAACAAGATGATGATGTAATGCTAATATAAATTGAAACTAGATAAGTAATTTTTTTGTTTATGGTGAACCAAAATACTGAATTCATAGTAGTTGATTCTAACTAGTAAAAGCTTCAGAGACCTAAAATAACCATTCCTCTACAAAGCTTTTCTGTTATAAATGGGCAATAAACGTTAGCAGCAACCAAGCAGAAAGAGAAGACACAATGCATAAATTCCTGTTAATCCAAAGGATAAATTATGTATCATCCGACTTAGAATGGGTTCCAGGCTGCTGATTTTTTATGTTCCTTCACAAGCTCATTTCCAATTAAACAGGCATATTTTTCTTCTGAAAAAATATATGATGAATCCAGCAGTTCCAGAAGGTTCCACTTCTGACTGCCATTGAGATTTCTTGGGGTCTGGTTCATTCTTTTCACTGCACACAGAGGTCTGTGGCATTTCATAGCGGGCTGCAGAATCTGGCTTCTTTCCTGCTAAGCTTTCCCACTGGCATTTTATTTCTGATCCTTTTATTGTTCGTTTGTTCCCACTCTCGTTTGCTCAGTGGTGACCCCCCTGGAACCAATAATAGCATGTTTCAAATGCCTGATTAAAACACTGCAGTGGAGTAAATCAATAAGCATTGGAGGCTGAGAACATAATAAGTATAATAACCACCATTAGGGTAACGAGTTGGGAAAGTGAGAGCGAGACTGGTAATATTATAATTATATTAATCTGCTTCGATCAGTTTCCACCTCAGAGGTTTGTCTGCACTCCCTCCCCTTGGAAAGAAAAGAAACACAAAGAGCTTGACATATAGATAGATAAACCAAGAATTGGTTTGTCTCCTATAAAATCCAGGGATGCACACAAAGAGAGAGAGAGAGAGAGAATCGTATTATGGAATCACACCCAATTCTCATGCAGCCCAAGCCACATCATCAGTAAATACTCTAGAATGCAGAATGCTTTCACACATAGTACACCCACACAGCCCAATAAATATACACATAAGACAGAAGCATGCAGCTAAACACTCCCACAGGAAACATATGGAAATGTGCACGCCAAATGCCACCCAAGGCTATCAAAGAAAGTCTTTGGAGAATAACTACTGCTTTATGAAGTTGGGAAATAGACTGGGTAATGCATAAGCATGGACCCTTAGGCACAACACAGCACCCCAACCAGCACACTAACAAATAAGGGATGCAGCAAACCTAAATATTTGCCTGAAATACATGTCACGGTGTGCCGTGCTTTAAACCACTTAGATCTATTTGTGCTTGGCACAAAAAGGGATGGCTTTATTCCCACTCATCTTTGTATTCTCCAAGCACGGGGACCTTAATTTATTGCCCTGCTGTGAATAAAAGATCCCCATGATCTTCAGTGAAAGGCAATGCATGATGGAATTTAATCAAAATCAAATCAAATCAGAGCCTTGGTGGCACAGTGGACTAAAGAGCTGTTAAAGTAGCATTTAGCTGCCAGCTGCCTACAATTACTGCAAGTTCAAATCTTACCAGGCTCAAGGTTGACTCAGCCTTCCATCCTTCCAAGGTAGGTAAAATGAGGACCCGGAGAAGGGGCGGCATATAAATTGAACCAATAAATAAATAAATAAATGTGTGAGACTTCCCCAAAAAAGTACTTGAAGAACAGACATTATTTTTCTTTGTTGGAGCTTGGAAGTATATTAAAAAATGCGAGAGTTCACATAATATCGTCATGTGATTAACTGGTACCTTTTTGGAATGGTATTTTATATACTGTGTATAAGTAGATTTATGGGGAAATGTCTGAATGCTAAAGATGTTAATATGATATTGAATTATACAATAAAGCTTTGGAATTTGTTTATCAGGAATTACAATTGTATCAAGCATGAGGAAGGGAACTAAAAAGTCATGCAGGTAATCAATCCTTGACTTACTAACACAGTTGGGGCCAGAATTTCCATTGCTAGTCAAAGCAGTTGTTAAATGAGTCGTGCCTGATTTTATGACCTTTTTTCCCAGTTGTTAAGCGAATCACTGCATTTGTTAAATTAATAATGTAGTTGTTAAGTGAATCTGGCTTCCCCAATTTGCTTGTCAAACATCAGCTGGAAAGGTTGCACATGACCCTGGAATGTTGCAACGATCATATATACATGTTGGTTACCTAACACCAAAATTTTGATCATGTGACTGTCGGGATGCTGTGAAGGTAATAAATGTGACGACTGGTCATATGTCACTTTTTTTTCAATGCCATTTTAGCTTTGAATGATCACTAAATGAATAGTTGTAAGTCAAAGACTACTTGTTTTGAGAAATTGGAAAGTGATATTATTTCCAGATATTAAGGAATGGTTTTTGGAGATGAGTGATTATCTGTCTTAGAAAAGAAAATATTTTTATTAAGTCAAAAAATAAAGCAATATGTGCTATTTGGGCAGAGAATTTATGATACTTTACAATAATATTTTCTATTTATTATATCATACTACTATTCAGTATTAGTAAAACAGAGACTATTGATAAATTTAATATATAAGAGATATTTTCTAATCTTTGGTTTCCATTATTTTTTCTTTAAACTTAAGGACTATTTTGTTTAATTGTGGATTTTGGTGTTTTGTTAATATTTTGTACTTTGAAAAACAGCAAACGTTTTTCGAAAATTAACCATGCTGGACTCTGCTTTAGCTTTTAAGCCCAGGCAAGACTGGTAGGTACTCCAACCTGCTTGAGACACAATCCTGCAACCTAATCCTGGGGCAACAATAACAAGTTTGGTTCTCTTCTATATGAAAAATCTTCAGGTAATTGAAGCATGCTGTTTTATCGGGTCTTAGCAAAATGGGGCAATGTTTGTCTTACTTTACAGATGATATACAATCCTTACGCGAAGGGCTGTCCATCTTTAACTGAAGGCATTCCGTACATGAAGAGTAGTCCACTACTAGTTGTTTTGAAAATGAGGAACCATAAGAAGGGAGAACAAGAGCTTGGCGTTGCTTATCAGAAATTCATGCATTAGCACACTGATCAGGCAAGCAGATATTTGGAAAAGCAACTTTCCTCTCTTTTGTAAACTGCAGAAAAGGTAGTAACGAATCCTGAGAGACCTCTTTCATATCTGTGTCGCCCACTTATCCATCTCTCAACACAGTAACAGCAACTATAGCAACACAGAGGTGAGTGGGGGAAACTGAGCTGCTTAGTGATAGTTACATCAAATGATCAATTAAGAGTCACCCTACACCTCTGAGCAACTGAGTTCATACTGGAAGAAGATCATTTGGAGAGTTGTAGGCAATTCTTGTACTATGTATGTTTATGTATTCATAGGATGAGCGTAGATGGTTTAATAGCTTATAAACTCTAATAGAGAGCAGGTAAATTCACTACTCCCACTCCAGAACTCTAAGAACAGCCAGTAACCTTGACGTTCACAGAACCCACACTCCTTCATGTGCAGATTGGAGTCTCACTCTAATCAATGTTCTTATTCAGAATGTTATCAAAACTATTCTATATAAAGGAAGAAATTGTTAAACTATCACTCGGTTATTATCGCTCTTTTGCCTTGTCCACATAATATCTTGAAGCAACAGGTACTGAAGGTACTGAAAGCATTTCTCACAAAAACTACAGAGAAAAACAAAATTCCTCATATAGCAGGCCAATGCTCTGCAGTACAATTCAATTCCTTCAAAATTGGTCTTTATCTGCATTGACCAGTTAATGCCAAGTGTTAAGCTTATGTGACCAGGATTGGTAGCACATTAGAGACATGTATCTTTATCTAAGCTTTATCTAAGTGATCCTCTCTTCAACTTCAGAAGTTTGTTGAGATGAATAGCTATACAAATTCAATACATAAATAATAAATAAATAAATCTGTGGTATTGTCCAATTCTCTTTATGGAGTGGAATTTGGGATTAGGAAGGAATATCTTCCTCTCACCTACTTTTCATTACTGGTACTATATAATACAAAATAGTTGCTTACTTCAAACCTAATTATTAAGACTTATTAAGAGTTCTAATTAAGATGGGTGAAATCACAGGCCTATCTAGTCAACCAAAAGCAGGACTTCAATGCAAACGGCAACTTTTCACATATGGTCCCCAGAAATGCAGACAAGTAGTACCTCTAAAATTAGAATATGTGAAGTAAGTAGACATTGAAAGTCTTTCAAAGTGTCAGTCACTACAACTTTGAGCTTCTGTACTCCTTTCAGGCTACAATCTGCCACCTGACTTTGAGGTCTTCAGAACTTCATTCCCCCAAATACTTTGTCAGTACATAGTATTTCATCAGGAATTTATTTTTATTAATGCCAGCACAGTACTTTTCTTCCTCTCTCTCTTTTAGTTCACATGAATCTTTTCCCCTGTGACTAAGAAATTCCAAAGTAGCATGAAGCAGTCCCTTATTTCCCATAAGGTTCCCATTTTACTTGCAACTTGAGAAGAACTCAGCTAGGTCAATCATTCATATTAAAAAGAATAAGTGGAATCTACAACAAAAAATTATAGTGTGTCCTTAAATTCTGAGTATTTTTTTTCATTGCAATAGTTGGCCATATATTTTTCTAGTGTACCCCATTCTGTTTCATTCCTCTCTAACCAGGGGATTTGAAGGGGAGGAGTCAAAAAAGACAAGATGATACTTACACCAGGGGTGAAATCCAAATTTTTTCCCTACCGGTTCTGTGCTTGGTGGGTGTGGCAGGGGAAAGATATTGCAAAATCTCCATTCCCACCCGACTCCAGGGGAAGGATACTGCTATATTGCAAAATCTCCATTCCCACCCCACTCTGGGGCCAGCCAGAGGTGGTATTTGCCAGTTCTCCGAACTACTCAAAATTTCCAGTACCGGTTCTTCAGAACCTGTTAGAACCTGCTGGATTTCACCCCTGGCTTATACCCATGCAATCACAAGAAATCTACAAAAGGTGGGACTTTGATCACATGCTTGATGTTATCTTCTTGATTTCTTTTTGACCGTTCCACAGACAGCCCTATTCCTAAATTTCTAATTTTCTTTTTTGACCTAACTTTTGGCATTGTGTATTTTGAGGCTACTAAACATTTAATAGAGTTTCCTGCCCTAAGCAGTGAGTTGGACTAGAAGACCTCCAAGATCCCTACCAACTCTGTTATTCTATTTCTATATATACTAATAGTTAGGTTTTTATTTTTGCCCCATTTCTTGTATTGCTGGACTTTTAGTAATTATTTCCTTCTGCTAATATTGAGATTCCCTGCAAGCATGCTACTATTCCCCTCTTTTTTTTTAATGTGGCCTTGTTTGCTGTTGAGTGTTAAAGGGAGCAATTAATGATTACTTTTATTTTTGAAACCAAAATAAACAGGAAACAAATCAATGGCTTTTAGAAAAGTAAAATATATTCAATTATTTTGATCATCAGAATTTTCCTACTTTCAGCCTTTGGAGAGAGAGTTCAACTGTTCAAATGAATAAACATAATTGTGTTTATGCTACCTATTCATTCCTCTGAAGACAATCCTTGCATGAAATATATTATCCCAATCTGCATCTATGCCTCCCTTTCAAATGACTGCTTTTCCCAAAATTCCCTCCAAGGAAATGGATGATAAATTCTAACAGATTTTATATACCTTGAGGCTGCCTTTGAAAGAAGGGGAGAAAATGCTTTTTATTATCAGACGCTAAAGGACAACTAAGCCTGCCTCATGCATGGCAATAAGATCAAGGCAAACAACACGGGGACAGCAAATATTTGGTGGGGGGCATGTTTGTGCCACACTTGGGTGCAAGTAGGGAAATATCTATAGATTGGATTGCAATATTGGTTCTGTAGGGTAATTAAATTACTTTGGGCTTGCTAGCTGATCATTTTCTCTATCCTGAGTTTGACATTGGCCCTAAAGCATTACTCATCTACCCCTGGAAACATATTAGATCAATCTTCAATACAGCAAATGCAAGAGTCAGCCATTTTGATGAACTCAGAAGAAAATCTTTTTCCTTTCCTGAATTTAATACACACCAAGGACATTGAAGCTCAGAAGAATGAAGGGCGTTGTGCAGAAAATGGGGGAATTCTGTCCTACAGATCTAATTTTAAAGATAGATTGTTTTCAGGATTATGGAGGAAAAGATGTAGACTACACAAGTAGCTCCCCAAGAAAAAAAATAAAATCAATACTTAATTCTGGCTGCATTGATTTGTGGTTTGCACATTCTGTCTATTCACTTTGTTTTGGGGAGATTTTATGCCCCCAAGATTAGCAAGGTCTGGCTTATGGAGGTTATCTCTATTAAATGACAACAAGTGCACTGAAAGTAGAAAAATATAGAACGTTTCCTTAAATAAAATGTGGATTGAAAAAGGAGCCCAAGCCATTAGCTGGAAGAGATTTTACCTCTTGCAAATATAAACATGTTATTTATATTTCTCCTGCTGAGAGAGTGGGGAGAGGGAGGGAGGGAGGGAGGGAGGGTGGGAGGGAGAGAGAGAGAGAGAGAGAGAGAGAGAGAGAGAGAGAGAGAGAGAGAGAGAGAGAGAGAGATTGTGCTATATTTACTTTCTTGCTTTTGCCAGAGAATATTTCATTTGGCGGCCTTCTCTCTGTCTTATTGCAAAATAAGCCCTCTGAGAAGAATTATATATTGCTTGTGTCCTTTCTTCCAGACTCAGTGGGCAGTTTTAGCACTGTGCTCTCTCAGAACAAATCCCAAATCTGATAGTATGAAAAGAAGTTGTGAGGGATGGTGTGAGTGTGATTAAGGAAAATTAAGAGAATTAAGGGGAAACTTCCTAATAGGAAATCAATTAACCAGTGGAACAGCTTGCCTTCAGAAGTTGTAGGTGCTTCATCACTGAAGGTTTTTAAGAAAAGAATGGACGCCCACCTGTCTAAAATGGTATAGGGTGTCTTGCTTGAGCAAGGGGTCGGGCTAGAAGACCTCCAAGGCCCCTTCAGCTCTATTCTGATTGAGAGAGAGAAAGAGGCATCATCATGGCTTGTTTGCAGTTGCCTAGGATTGCTCTCAAGCATTATGCCCCATTTGTCTTTTAGTACAGGACAATCAATGTTCCTCTATGGGCCACAATTTTGCTCTCCTCCAACTTTGAGTGAAACAAGAGTTAAGTGTACCAAGACTTCATTAGGTATAATGCTTCGAAGTAGGTGTTTTCCCCTCACAAAAATTGCCCAATTAGAAAAACTAACTTGGATCAGGTAGTCAGTCTGAATGGTGGCAGCCTATCCACATGGATTTTATGGGGAAACAGGGATTTTTACTGTCTGGGATGAAGTCTCTGCCAATGAGGCTTCAATGTCATTCAAAGGGATAGGAAATACTGTATCATCCATTCCAACTTTGCAAAATGGAAGCAAGCTACATGCAAATTAAAGAACTGCAAAGACCAATACATGGCTCTTATTCTAAGCTCTACTTTTATAACTTATCTGATCAGTTCACCTTATTGTTTCCCAACTGAATTTAGCCAAAGAAGGGGAGCACCTTAACTTAGAAGTAGAAGACCTACACATACATATATCCCTTCAGTCTCCACTAGAAAGATCTCAGCTGTCTGTTATCAGTCAAAATTATGATGGCACATAATCAACCAATCAATCTGTTGTATTGAAGTGTGTTAACAGATGCACAGTCTGGCTCATAGGAATTCATTCTGCCCTGGTCATACTCTATTTGGGCTAGAGTAAGGTATACAGTTCTGCATGACACAGTTCAAAATGAACAGTTAATATTTGAAGCTGGTTCAGGGGATGATCAAAGATCTGGAAACCATATCTTTTGATGAAAAGTTAAAAGATCTGTGTATGTTTAGTTTACAAGAAAAACAAGATATAACAGCAATATTTAAATATTGGAAGAGTTGTCAAATAAAAGAAGGCGTGGACATATTCTCTTTTGCCAGGACCAGAAACAGTGCATTAAAACTACAAGGAAGGAGATTCAGATAAGATATCAGAAGGGACTTTCTGATTACAATTAACCAGCGGAACAGCTTGCCTTCAGAAGTTGTGGGTGCTTCATCACTGGAAATTTTTAAGAAGAGACTGGATAGCTTCCTGTCTGAAATGGTATAAGGTCTTCTGCTTGAGCAAGGGTTGGACTAGAAGACTACATGACACTGTCAGTTCTCCTTCACTAGAAGTCTTCAAAGGGAGGCTGGATGGTAATCAGAGATACTCCAGTGGATCCTGCATAAAGTAAGGGGTTAGACTAGATTACT